AGAGGGGGTATGTTAATCTGAAGATTTCTTTACTTGGCATAGTACAGCTCATGTCTGGACCGTGAACATTTCTTCGGTATGTCACGACAGGTCTGGAGCTACCAGACCAGTCAATATTGGTATTTTGTTGCTGGGGTTGGGTGTGTTTTCTTTGTCTGTATTCTCTTTATTCCTTTTCAGACATGTTCTTGGTCTCCTGTAGCTTGCATAGTCTTAACCGTAAAGTCTTTCGTATAGATTGTATTTGCAATTTTATTTTGTGACAAACGAATATTTTTTAAGACTTCTTTGCCGGGTGTTTCATTGTTTTAATTTAAGCTGTTGGGATGAAGGTCACAAGCTGTGAGGGCACTAGTTGGCCTGAATGCTGCAGGAAAAAAGACCAAGTAGGATGTTCAGCATTCCCTGAATGGCAAATTGAACGATAACTTCTTGCTGGATGTTAAGTCAAACCCTGTTATTCTTCCGCCCTGGCACTGGGGTTGATTGTTTGAGTGGGGTTGTTTTGCGGTGGTGTGTGGGTTTGGTGGTGAGTTTCTAGTGATTTGCCGTGTTAGTTTAGATAAGGCTTGGCAATGTTGGTGGTTGGGCGGTGTGGGTTGCGGGTGAGGGGGGATGCTTGATCAATTCTTCACTCTCTTCTCTGAATGTCCATTTTGTATCTGGTTTTAATGTTGATCATGCTCCCTCCCCCCTCACATTCCTCCCCTCGACCTGTTTTTTGGGTGGTTGGCCCCGACCCCACCCCCCCCCTTCGCTCCTCTCCTCTCCCTCCCTCTCACACCATTTGGGTCTAGTTCTCCTTCTTGCGTCCCTCACACAGCACACATTTGGGTTGGTTCTGGGTTGGTTTTGGGTTGCGTGGGTGTTGTTGGGAGACAGTAGGGTTCTCCATGGTCTCATGCATCTAAAGTGAGCGTAGTTTTCATGTGGTGAGAGTACTTCTCCTCTTCTCTCCGTTCATTCCTTTGTGCGCGCGTTGCGCATCGTTGTGCTGTTGTTTGTCTAAGCTAACTTCGTAATTATAAATCGGTGATATATTTTTTTCGTTTGAGCCTTCTTGTAGTTTGTACTTTCGATTTTAGTTGGTTGGAGTGCTGAGTGCAGTCTTCGTGTTAAGGAGTTTTTTCATGGTGTTGGGATATAGATTGATATTGTTGTAGTTATTGGCTGGTGGCCCTAAGTGTTTACTCATCGTACTTGGAGGAATAAGAGGCGGTTTTTGTTTCAGTATGCTGATAGTGTCTGTTTCCTGGTAATTACAGTTGTTAGTTTGTTATTTTTGTTTTGATTGAGTGGACCTGATGTGTTGTGAGAAGGTGGTAACGTCTGATTAGTTGAAAGTGCTCGAAGAATAAGCTCTGAAAAGGAATGATTCTTCCTTTCCAACCATCTTAGGTTTTATAGTAATATGACGTTATTGTTGGCAGTAACGTGAATATTTGACGGGTTGTTGACTTGTGGCAGAAAGGTAATACAAGTGAATTCTGCGAGATATGCGTTGCTTTCATGGAAGTTGTTTTATCCATACGAATCCTTGTTATTTCACTAGAAGTTTTTCGATTTGTTAATAGGTTCATAGGTTAAGGATGGTGAGCGGAAGGGAGTACTCTAGAAATGTATTAACTTACTAGGCTATCTTAATCTTATGTGTTTGAGCTGGTGTTATTGTATGGATCCAGGCTGTGGTTTTCCTAACAGCACTGTGTTTGAGTTTCTATTTGTGAAGCGTTGGGAAAACAACACTCGGTTGGTTGTTGGTTGGTGGTGTTTCATGATGTGCTCTTGTTGTTGTGGTGTTGGTTTTGCTGTGGGAGATGATAGCTGGTGGTATTATGGTAATAGAGGAGGGTGATGTAGTATAAATGAGAGTTGTTCGCGGTATATTCGAAAGAACTAAAGCACCTTGGTGTCTGAGGGTTTGCAGGATTTTGACGCATAAATTGATCAATTCCATTATTGTTTGTTGAGGTCACGATGCACAATTAGTCCGTTGAAGGAACATCCCTTTGGTTCTATTGCTCTGTCTTTCGGCGTTTCGGTCAAAAGATTAGATCTAGAAGTAGTTGGACATGGTTATGTTTTCATATATATAAGGCATTGCAGGTTTAGTTTTCATTTCATTGGCTGAGAATTTGTAGCATCTGGCTGCCAGCTTCCGCGTTGAACAATGTTATGGCCCTAGTGGAGCTTGATCCAAATCTGCGACATGCATTGGTCGCCTCTGCTGGAGCTACTGGCTTACTCGCGATCTTGACAAAGAAAGACGTCTGTACCATTCTTGAGGGGTGAGCTAGGTTCGAATCCGTTTCGAATTTGTATGGTTTGTATGGATGAGTCTACATCAGGGTAAGAAATGCAGGGTCAGCAAATTGTGAATGCGACAGTCCGTAATACCAGCGCTTGATACAGGGAGAACTGTTATTTGCACATATCACCAGCCAAGTATTGATGAATACATATCGATACATTGTGATGAGGATTTTCTAATTTTTCCACTGGTAGTCAGAGGTTTTGATCATTTTTATGTTCTCTCAGTAAAAGCATAAGCTTTTATCTTTAGGATGGCTTCTTTCTTTTCTGCCGCTACTTCTTATGAAGAAGAGGAAGGAAGGTCATAGTATTGAGGGCGCTTGGTACTAAACTACAAATTATGGATTAACTACTTTTCAGGTTGTGTCTCTTTAGCATTTTTATATTGTACCACGTTATCTCATTACATTTAGGTTAGTGAAAAGAGTAACCCATGCAACGCTGCCCGTGCTATTTTTCCCCTTCATCAAATAATACAGCTCAATACAAAATGGTTAGGATGCAAAATTTCTATAAACTCGAATGCCTGTTGCGGATTGTTGACTTCTCTCTTGTGTTTCGTTTTTAACCAACTGCACAGAACTATGACCATTTGGAACTTCAGAGCTCATTCCAAATCAGTCCATATGTGCTTGAATCATCTATTTGTTGTTGTGCATGTGTTTTTTTTTTCTTTTTTTTTTTTGGGGGGGGAGGTGGGGCAGGGATCAAGATACAACTTAGGTGTCTCACTTTTCTCAAGAGAGCCTACTGTATCATTTTTACGATTTTACATCATGTGTGTGTGCAGCGTGTGCCTTTTAGGAGATGCTTAGGTACTCGTACGCATAACTCAAGTTTTTGTATAGCAAAGTACACTGATAGTTGTGAACGAAATTGATGTCTCTTTTAAATATATAAACATTTATTAAACTATTCAATGAAACCATAGAAATAATCCATTGTTTTATTTTATAACGATCTAGCTTATGATTAAGGATCCTTCTACGGTTTAGGCTATTGAAAATACATGTCATTTTACAAACCTTTTGATGTACATGTAAACCCATTAACCAATCACGACTAATTGTCTAATATTGCGGACTGAGTTATTTATTCAATTTCATGTTATCATGCACTTTGGATAAATGTTAGTCTGGGTCTTTTTGGGGGTTGGGGGGGGGCGGGGGGTGCATAGTTAAGACGAAAAAACACATGCACACACAACAAATAGATGATTCAAGCACATATGGACTGATTTGAATGAGCTCTGAAGTCAAATGGTCCTAGGTTCTGTGCAGTTGGTTTACAAAACGAAACACAAGGAGAAGTCAACACCCAACAGCATTCAGTTTATAGAAATGTTTGCATCCTAACATTTTGTATTGAGCTGTATTATTTGATGAAGGGAAAAATAGCACGGGCAGCGTTGCATGGATACTCTTTCTACTAACCTAAATGTAATGAGATAAGTGGTACATAAAATGCATAAAGGAACACAACCTGAAAGTAGTTAATCATAATTTGTGAGTTTGTACCAAGCGCGCCTCCATATATGACCTGTCCTCCTCTCTTCATAAGAAGTAGCTGCAAGAAAGAAAAGAAGCCATCTAAAGGAGTCAAAAGCTTATGCTTTTACTGAGATAGAACAATAAAAATGACATCATAATGGGAAAAAGAAAACCTCATCAAATGTTTCGAATATATCAATACTTGGCTGGTGTATGGTGCAAATAACAGTTCTCCCTGTATCAACTGTATTACGGACTGTACGCATCACAATTGCTGCAGCCCTTGCATCTAACCCTGATGTAGGCTCATCCATAAAAATAATTGAAGGATTTGCAACTAGCTCCACTGCAATGGTAAGACGTTTTCTTTGTTCAGTCGATAAGCCAGTACTTCCAGGCAGACCCACCAATGCATGTCGCAGATTATCAAGCTCCACTAGTGCCATAACTTGTTCAACGAAGTCCTGCAGGCCAGAGCTACAAATTCTCAGCCATGAAATGAAAACTAAACCTGCAGTCCTTTTATATGAAAACTAACATGTCTACTTTCTGATCTAATTTCTTTTGGAAGCCGAAGACGAGCTGAAAACCAAAGGGATTCTTCAACGGTTACTTGTGGTGAATGGATGTCATTTTGCTCAACATATCCTGAAACCCTAGCAAAGGTGCTTTGTTCTTTCGGATATCCGGATATCTTTATATCTCCCTCTATATATCCACCAGTCTTTCTCCCAGCAAGGACATCCATGAGTGTTGTTTTCCCAGCTCCACTAGAACCAACCAGTGCTGTTAGGACACCTGGTCTAAATACACCACTCACACTAGATAGTAGCTGTAGTTTACTTTCTGGTACTCCCTTCCGCTTCATTTCCTATGATTTAAATGAACTTTGTGAATAAAAGGATTCGGTGGAATATTCCATGAAAGCACGCATACTGCAAATTCACTTGTATACCTTTGGCATGTCAACAAAGTAATTCACGTTATGAAATGTCATTGCTAATGGTTGGAAAGGAAGAATCATTCCTTTCTCAGAGATATTCTTCGGAGCAACTTTCCTTTCAGTTAATTCTGACACATCGAGTCCAACTGTAATTACCAGGAAACTATCAGCATTCTGAAACGAAAAGTAATATTCCTCCAAGTAGATGAGTACTTGGGCAAGCAATATACAAATTATTATCATGAAACTTTCACCGATGCATAGTCCATAAATGAGTCAACTACAGAAGGCTCAAAGAATATATCAAGATTTTATTACGAGTTACTTAGACAAACACACACGAGCGCGCGCGCACAAAGGGAGGGAGGGAGGGAGAAGTTTCAACCATGAAAACTATCCATTTATGTGCATGGGACCATGAGACCTACTGTGTGTGGAGTCCAGGGCGGAAGATAACAGGTTTGACTTAACATTCCAGCAAGAAGTTATCGTCAATTGCCATTTCAGGGAAAGTGCTGAACATCCTTACTTGGTTTTTTTCCTGCAGCATCAGGTGTGATCACAGCTTGTGCCTTTCCCAAAGCTTAACATTAAAAATGAAGACATGGTCAGAAGTCTTAAAATTTGTTTGTCAAATAAATGCAAAATACAGATCTTCGAAAGACTTACGGTTAAGATATGCCAAGGCAAGAGCGACCAGAATGTTGAAAAGGATAGAATACGAAAATAAAACCCCAACCCCAAGCCAGTACCAATATTGCTGGTCTGGTAGACTGTGTGAATGGAGAATGTTGGTCCCGACTGAGGTACTATTGCCAAGTAAAGAAATCTTCAAGATTACAGCACATGGAAGCAAATTTTAAATTTAATATAAAATTCTCCAAAAGCAGGCAATGGGTAAAAAAAAAAGAAGTTAATGCACCTGTGCCCACCGAGAGGCAGTGAACTCATTGACCGAAATTGCTCTCTGTCCGTATGTTAGTGGTGAAATCCAGAAGCCCCAAACCCACCAAGGCCTGATCGAATCTAAGATGCAAGCAGAAAAGTATATAGATTCATTAGAAACTAGAATGGAAGCTGAGCAATGAACCTTTAATTAATTTAGCATCTGCTAATAGATAATGGAAACCAATGCCATTTTGGTGTACGTAAAATCCTTTTCATGGAGGAAACTTGTTTTACACTCACGTTTTGGAATAATAAATCCACCCAACAGAAAAATTGCTAATAATGTTGCAGAACCAAAAGTATTGGCGATGATCATATCCCGTGCTAAAGCGCCCATCAGCCGGAAGAGTCCCAATGCCATCTGGTGTATACAAAATAGTAATAACATGAAGCAGAAAAACCTGCAGAAAATAAAACAATTTTCAAACAGTGATATGTCTAACATTAACTACCTAAAACATTTTTTCATGAGTACCTCCCAGCACTGGGTGCAAACCCCACCGCATAATATACCACACAAGACCAGACAAGTGATTCAATGATGGAATAAGGAATTCGTAAAAGCCAACTAGGAATGGAGAACGCCCAAGCAGGATGAAAATGATTATCTCTCTGCTTATAGAAAACTGGGAGCCGAGATATAGTGATGGGTAGCTCAGAAAACCCATTAAACATCATATGCACCATTCCATAAAACAAACAATTAAGGTACAAGTTTCCATTTATCTCATTTAAAGGATGTAATCTTGTGCGGGGGAACATTGTACATGTTATGATTCCCATAACTGCAACCTGCATCAAATGTGCAAATTAATATTGTTCTCGAGAAAACAAAGAGGTAATTGCTTCTGAAGGGTTGAAGCAGTGGGATACTTAACACAAGAGATATAACACTTAACACAAAATAGAGCAAGAATAAAACTGAATATATCAAACAGGGACAAAGATAACCAAACACAAGGATATAGTATGGTTCAGCCAATATTTTGACCTACCTTAGTAGTCAAAAGCAGTAACAGGAATCTAATAATCAAAGAGGAGACTACAACAAAGAGATTATACATAATATGGTCATACCCTAGTCTCACACCAAAACCTACAAAATACCATGATGCAACAATGATGAAATAAATAAGAAAGAGTATTTCACTTCTTTAGAATAATTATTTTCATTGCTCTTTCCAGCCCACTTGGAGAGTGGTTTCTAACTTGTCGGTACATTGGAATTGAAGGCGTCCACTTGGCTGCTACTAATAATGCAATTCTCCTTAAAGATAGCCTTTAAAATTGTAAGTTCCACTACCACAAAGATAACATGCTTTGCAAAAATGTAACCAAAACTGTGTCAGAACACCTACTATTATTTGGGAGTAAATTTAATTATCTCTTCCATATTAAATGAATAGAACCATTGCTGGTCACAATTTGGGCTTACAGAGACAAAAAAGACAAAAGAATGCAGATAAAATATTTTTTTATAACATTACTGCTGCCCTAAATTGCATGGGTTTGAGTACAGGTGCAGGTACGGGACACGGAAACATTGTAAAAGGCAGGGAACAACAGCACGGCTGAAACTTATGGGATATAATCATAGTTCTAAGCTATATATGTAAACAACCTTTTAAATCGTAGTTCATAAGGCTGAGACAAACTCGACCCTTATCCAACAAATTGCAAAAAATGGTTATGAAATGTAGGATATATATCCCAGAAGTGTATGACAAGTGTTTTAAATTAAACATGTATTGTATAAATTAGCACAGGTCAGAATAAATATATACAAATATTTAAAGAGTGTCCAAGAAGTGTCGGGTACGGTTACCACATGTATCGGGTATGGGCACGGCTCCATATTAGAAGTACTCAAGCGACATAGCTGTTGGCCTTCTTGTTTTGATGATGTTAAACAAACAATTTACTTCTAATGTTGTTTGTCTAGTGTTTGTATAATTCTATTTATTGTAGACAAACAACATGTTGGAGGATGGATGGAATAGCGCTTCAACGACAATATCAAATAGAGGTTGGCGGAATTGTGGAGTGAAGCTTATGCAATTCAAGTTCAAGATCCAAGTTCAGCTTCATCCGCATAGTACACCAAGTCAAGCTTATTGAAGATCAAGATCGCCTTGGGTAATCTAGTTTAGGTTTTATATTATGTGTGTTAGTACTTTAAGCTCAATATTATACACACACATTTTACTGGTTTCCTTGTATATATATGTAGTCATATATATATACAACACAAGTTTTGATTTTTATGTCTATAAATATAAAATTACATATTTTATATTTATTATTGTGATTTGGTTTAACTACTTAGATATGAAACAAATATATTTTTATATACATACTCATATGTTTCATTTTCTATTGTATTTGTAAAAATATTGTATTCTTAGTTTTTGAACTTAACAATAATCATATACATATTTTATTAAGTCTACATAATCATTGTGCAAAGTTTCAAAACATGGTTTAGCCAAAATGTTAAAATTCACATGTTTACATTTTTATGTTTTGGCTTTTTTTGTAAAATGATGATATTTTTTATTTAGGAAGTCCTTTTTGGAAACTAGTCGTTGTAGCATGTTTATTATCATATCTACAATCATTTTCCAAAGTTTTACATTTTTTGAAATTTATTTGATATTTTTAAACAGTGTTTTAAAATCAAAAAACTGTTCAAAACTGTAAAATTTTATATATCAGTTCACGGTCGACCGCGCCTGAGTCTTTTCCATAGTGGGCAGCAGAAACTTTCGCGGTCGACCACCACGGTCGACCGTCAAGCTGAATTCCTCGCGGTCGACCGTAGCTATCCAAGAAGTTTTTAAACAAGTTTTAAACAAGGGTTTAAGTTTGTTTAGTGTTTGTTTAAAAGAGTTTTTATTTGGGAAGAAGTTTTACACAAGTGGGGGAGATCATCTACATTGATTGAGCTTCATCTTAATCTATCTCTCCATCTTGTTTTTCAGAGAAGAATTCCTAAACTCTATTTCTAGCTATTTATTGTTTTATTCATAATTTCTATATGCTAGATTTTATTTGAGTTTAGTTGTTTTATTTATTCTCATAGTTACACACACCCACATGAGCTTTTAGTATTTACACACATAGTATATTAGGGTTGTGAGAAATTATAACATTGAGTTGAGCTTTAATTGAGTTCTCGCATTGTATTAGAGAACAAATCATGTGTTATCTTTGTGAGATTGTAAAGTTTTCGGTTAGCTAGAAAACCGAGTGTGAGGAGTGGATGTTGATCGGTGAACGTTGAAAACCGACATTGTGAGTGAGTGTATACGTTGATCGGTGATCGTTGAAAACCGACATAGTGTGGTTGTAAACGTTATTCGGGTGAGCGTAGAAAACCCGGTTGTGTTAGTGGATTTCTCCCCGGGAGAGGGGAGCGAAGACGTAGAACGGAAGGTCCGAACTCCGTGATCATATCGTGTGTTTGAGTTTGCTTTGGCGCACTTAATCTTATGTTTATATTTCTTGTCGCCATTGTCCATAGCTCATTATTTTTATCATCCACTATCTAGTTCATATTGTTTACCCTTGTGTTAGTTTACATATCCTTGCATATATCATATTGTATATCTCTTTGGTAGGATATATCATCTTGTGCTAGTTTATATATCATTGCATATATTTATCATATATGATATATCTCTTTATTCATATTGCTTCTAGGGTCTAACAATTGGTATCAGAGCTTGGTGCTCTTTGATTTAAGGTCTAATCGTCTTGAGTTAAATATCCAAGTTATCTTTTTGTGGTAATCCAATTTTTTATTTTTGTATCTTGCTTGCATATATACATTATGGATATAAACTATGCATCTTGTTTAGGTTATGCCATCAACATTGCTCCTAGATTAGATAATTTTTCCTATGCCCAATGGTGTGTTAGATTAAAATTTTTTGTTCAATCTAAACACTTTGATTTATGAGAAATTATAGATGATGCTTATATTGTTCCTACTATAGAGAAATCCAAAATCTAAACACTTTGATTTATGAGAAATTATAGATGATGCTTATATTGTTCCTACTATAGAGAAATCCAAGTGAAATAAAAATGATCATCGAATGTTTACTAGATGATGCTTATATTGTTCCTACTATAGAGAAATCCAAGTGAAATAAAAATGATCATCGAATGTTTATAATGAACAATATTTTGTTAGAATATTTGCTAAATGTTTTTAATTCATGTATGTCTAATAAGTTTGTTCATTTTGATAGTGCTTATACCTTATGAAAATTTATTGAAGCACATTAAGGGGACTTGGAGGCGATCCAACAAGCTTTGACGGATCCGGCTTCAAGTTCATATGGAGCATCATGCACACGGTCACTAGGCGATAGCCCTAGTGAGGTTTGCGAGTTCGAAACCACTAATGATTTATCTAGTGATGAACTAGCTTGTGCTAGTGAAAAATTATTGCATGCCTCTAACAAATTGTATAAAGATTTTATTAATTTACAAAGCAAGCATGAAGATTTGAAATCTAATCATGAGTTGTTAGCATCTAAATTTGAAACTATTTCTAATGAAAATGTGATCCTTAAAGAAAACAATGACATGTTAATTTTGAAAAATAAAAAATTGACCTCATCCATTTCTAGCTTAACTCATGAAAGAGATAATACCATGGTAGAAGTAGAAAACATACAAAATGATACTGCTTCTTTCATAAATGACTATTTATGTTCTACTTCAAATGTTAATGCATATGTGCCTAATGATGAGTTGAATGATGTTAAAAATCGTATTACCTCTTTAGATTCAACTCTTAATTCATACATTATTAACCATAAGAAACTTATGAACTTATGTGCAAAGTCTCGAATTAATTCTTTCAAATCCAACACACACTATGCACACTTGTATAGCAAAGTTTACAAATGCTTTATTTACGGTCGTAAAGACCACCTTGCTAAATTTTACTATGATGCACACAAACATAAGAATGTTAATGCTTCTTGTGCATCACATGTAGCTTCTTCATCACATACACATGCACATACTCATCATGTTCATCATAAGCATGCTCATGTGTTTAAATATGATATTTGTGATTGATTTGGTCATTTGGCCAAATATTATTTTGATTTGAAAAATAAGTCTCATTTGCCAAATGTTTCTAGTAAACCACATGTTTATAAATGTAATGTTTGTGGTAGATTTGGCCACTTAGAAAAGTTTTGTTTTGATAATGTTTCACATTTGCAAAAAGCTTCAAATAATTTACCTTTGTTTGCAAATGTTCCACGTGCCCCTTTTAATGATCAACATAAGCAAATGCTTCCTTTCCATTGTACATATTGCAATCGGAATGGTCATTTGAGTGATTATTGCTATGACCGATCACGTGCACTACATATACCCAAGAGAGTTCATAACCCTAGAGCTTTGAGCTTGAATGATAGGGGTCATGTCCCTAACCAATCCGGCACCAAGAATTCTTGAGTGCCAAAATGATCTTTAAACCAAGAATTTTAGTATTTTTATTTTTTTCTTTTCTTGGTTTTGAAAAATTATACTTTAAACTTTTGAACATGAAAATAATTTTTTTCATTGATCAAATTCTTTTGTTTTCATGATTATTGGTTTTGTTTTGATGAGAAGTTTGTATTTATGTAACCCACCGGATTTATTGGGTGTTTATTCCCAAATCTTGTTTACCGGGTGCTAAAATGTTTATATGGGTTGATACTAGCTCAAGAGCTAGATATAGTTGTCTCTCTTGATTTTTAAAAATCAATGATGGTTTGGTT